GTCAGTTTGTCTCATTCTCCCTCAGATCTGACCCTGGAAGACACGGTGTCATTCAGTAAAGAAGAACTGTTGCAGGGTGAGTCATATAGCGGTGACGTCACACAACACAGTTGTGACCTCCTTTACATATCTGTGCATCACAATAGGGACATAATATACACTTTTATAGGGACATAATATACACTGTTATAGGGACATTATATACACTGTTATAGGGACATTATATACACTGTTATAGGGACATTATATACAGTTATAGGGACATTATATACACTGTTATAGGGACATTATATACAGTTATAGGGACATTATATGCACTGTTATAGGGACATTATATACAGTTATAGGGACATTATATACAGTTATAGGGACATTATACACTGTTATAGGGACATTATATATACTGTTATAGGGACATTATATACACTGTTTTAGGGACATTATATACACCTTTTATAGAGACATTATATATACTGTTATAGAGACATTATATACACTGTTATAGGGACATTATATACACTGTTATAGAGACATTATATATACTGTTATAGAGACATTATATACAGTTATAGGGACATTATATACAGTTATAGGGACATTATACACTGTTATAGGGACATTATATACACTGTTTTAGGGACATTTTATGCATTTTTATAGGGACATTACATACACATTTATAGGGACATTATATACACATTTATAGGGATATTATATACAGTTATAGGGACATTCTATACACTGTTATAGGGACATAATGTGGTATGTGTGGTAGGTGTGGTATGTGTGGTATACTTCCCCAGAGAACCACTACCTCCCCCCTCCCCCCCGTACTGTACCTCTGTGTGTGTGGCATGTGTGGCATGTGTGGTATACATCCCCAGAGAACCCCTACCTCCCCCCTCCCCCGTACTGTACCTCTGTGTGTGTTGCATGTGTGGTATGTGTGGTATACATCCCCAGAGAACCACTACCTCCCCCCTCCCCTGTACTGTACCTCTGTGTGTGTGGCATGTGTGGTTAGTGTGGTATACATCCCCAGAGAACCACTACCCCCCCCTCCCCTCCCTCGTTCTGTACCCCTGTGTGTGGTATGTGTGGCATGTGTGGTATACATCCCCAGAGAACCACTACCCCCCTCCCCTCCCTCGTTCTGTACCCCTGTGTGTGGTATGTGTGGCATGTGTGGTATACATCCCCAGAGAACCACTACCCCCCTCCCCTCCCTCGTTCTGTACCCCTGTGTGTGGTATGTGTGG